ACAACACATGGTTTTAGCCCTCTGGTGGGAAAGACTTTAAAACAAAACTTACAACAGTTACTTTTCTCAACAACTGAAATTTAGAATAGTGTGATTAAGAAAAATATGTGAACTGTTTGGAATTTCAAATTAATATTGAAATGCACAGGTTTAGAATTTTCTACAGTGAAAAGTTTTCGGAACTTCAGTGTTCAAAAAAGTATACAAAAGCTAAACGTTAAGAACGTATCCAATGAGCGAGTAAAGCGAGCATCGGATTGCAAAGCAATCCGTCCGAAATGAACTTCGAAAGCAGTTCCGAGGGTTGGCGAGCGCCAGCGAGCAGGGGGCGAAGCCTCCTAGTTAAATAAATAAATAATTAAATAAATAAATGAATAAATAAATAAATGATTTAAAAAAACGGATTACTTATAAAGAATCGCCAAAAAATTGAACAAAAATTTCGGGTTGAAATGAAACTCCAGTTACTTCGTAAAGAAAAAAGGAAAACGTTTCATGCACCAAACTTGAGACCAAGACTTAGGAGTGAGTGATAAGCTCAAGCCTAAATTCACGAGGCTAGTCTTAGGACTACTCGGCCGAAAGTGGACGTAGCTCGCAGAAGAGCAAGCCAACCATCAGTCAGAATAAAAAACTAGTGAGAGTAAATATTTTTTCAAGCAATTTAATTACATAATAATAAAAATAATACTAATTAAACAATTTAAAAAATACATATATCGTCCAGTAAGTTTAAGCGAAACCGGTTTTTCGTACTACTGCCATAGTAAGGCCTTTCCCTTTACTATAGTATCCCATTATAAAATTACAATTGAAGTTCAAGGGGAAAGAAGGGTTTCGGAGAGACTGCGAAAAGGAGGCATCCACGCGCTTCCCTTGTTTTTTTTTCTTAAAATCAGCTTTCATGGACAGAAACTGTTCCTCCAAATTGATTTTCAATTCCATAAGAAATGAATGAAAACTAAGAATATAAAAAATTTCTTTAATAAACGTCGCTACGCTCCTTTGCTTCGAAAGTAAAATGCTTGGTTAAAATTTATAATTACTGAAAACTGTTTTTCTGAAGATTATTCACAGCGTAACAAATTTGAATATTTTTTTCTTCTGATTTTTAGTTGAAATTTGAGATTTAGTAAAAACAAAAAGTACTTGATTCACGTTGAAAATCCAAATTTATTTATAGGGGAAAAGACGCCAAACTTCTTGTAATCTCACTTCCTAATTCATCAAGAACATTCCAAACTTCGGAAAGGTAGATAAGGCTTTTATCACCAATAATGACGCTAAATTGCCAAGATCAACAAATTAGTCGACAATATGGTGAATTTCCATTCTGAATAACAACAACTATACTTTGCCTGCAATTTCTTATTGTGTGTAAAATACAGGAATATTTAATTTTCTTATTCGTGCATGTCGAGGTTACGTTAATTTTCTTGAATCCGTAATTAAGTTATGACAACAATAAAATGTTCTCCAAAAATGCGTCACAGTAGCGTATTTATTATTTATAATCTTATTTGAATTCGAATCAAATAATAGCATACCTGCCAACTCTTCCGGATTTTCCGGAAGATTTTATTTTTATATTTAAAGTGGTAGTAAATATATACTATTTTTTTCTTTTATAAACTTAATTTTAAATGATTTAGTTCACTACTATTCTTACAAAAATTAAGCACATATATTAATATGCGTTACTATCATGGTTGTCAACTTAAGGTTTCTCAAATACAACGTATTTGTTTGCTTAAAATTAAAGTTTTAATTCCATTTTAATACCACTGGGAAAAATAATAATGGAAAGGATTAAAAGTTGGCAGGTATGTAATAGTATTAGCAAAATTATTTATTAATTACTTTATAACTACAGCAAAACTTGCAGTGAAATCTTACTTCATCGACAACATTCTAAACTTCGGATAAGGAAGATAAGACTTTTATCACCAATAATGTCACTAAAGCTGCCTAGATCATCAGAATAGTCGCCAATATGGTGAATTTTTCATTGTCAATAAGAGCACCTATACTTTGGCTGTAATTATTATGTGCTGTTAAAGTACGGGAATAATTTTACTGTTTTAAAACGTCCACATCGAGTTCTGTTCATTTGCCTGAATCTGTATTTGCTATGACAACAATAAACGATATGGTCTCCAACGACGCGTCACAGCAACGTATTGATTACTTACAATCTTATTCGAATTCAAATCAGATAGTTAAAATATTTAAAAAAAAATTACTCATTACTTCTTTATTTTCTATGCCAAGAATATCGCCACCAAATAAATCAGGATTCTCAATTGGTAGATCTCCAAGAAATTCTGAAAAAAAGGAAATTGAAATATTATCGTGCACGTGTACAATATATGACTCGGCAAAGTTTGTAAAATCAAAATACATTGTAGTTAGAATCAGAAAATGAAAGAAATAGTTAATTCTATAAAAAAAAGTTAATTCTATAAGATAGTTAATTCTATAATAAAGAAATAGTTCTCTAATTGCTATCTAATTTTGGAAGCTTCAGAAAATATTTTTCTCAGTGGTAGGAAAGACAGTGTTTTAATATTTTTATAAATTAGAATCTAACGAATTTTTGTAGACCACTTAGTACAAATAATTCAAATAGATCGATAGAAGGTCCAATAAGAAAGAGGTCATATTTTGAACTTCTGATTCTATTCTTTTTCAAAAATTTCTGCTCTGGTTAACGACCAGCAGGGAAAAAGTTTCGTAAAGACCTCATATCTTGAAGGGTGGGAAATACAGAGGAGTTCGAAGTAACTTTTTTTAGATTTAAATTCTAAGATCATACCTGCCGACTTTTAATCCTTTCGAGAATGATTCTCCCAAGTGGTAGTAATATGGAATTTAAATTACAATTTTAGCCAAAAACATACACTGTATTTTGGAGGAGCATAAGCGGAGTATCATAACAGCATTAAATATTAATATATATGCATAATGTTCTTAAAAACAGTGGTGGTTAAAAAGATAATAAATGCAAGGAACATATAGAAAGCATACTTTTTACTACCACTTTAAATATAGAAATAAAATTTTACGCCAAATGTGCAAAAATTGGCAATCATGTATGTAAAAGTATTAAAACTGAGTCCGTTTAGTCATTATATATCAAAACTGAAAAGAGTAAAAACTGGTAATAAATAAATTTCCTTTTTAGCTTCTTTTCGGAATAATAAAATATCCATAACTATACCAATTTTTTTTTAACGGATACAATTTATATACTGAATTGCTTCTTCCCCGATAAATAAAGAATGCAATGATGGCCATTAGCGTTTGAACCCGTTTGGTTGAAGCATTTTTTGCAAGTAGGGGTCTCGCGATGTTAAACTCTACTGTCAGCCGATAGGTTCCTTCGGTTTAAATTAAAAGCAGATTCTGGTGATGCCAATTGCCTCATTGAAATAAGTAATCATACAAACAGCGAGATATCTACTTCAAGCTAAAGTACAGCGGACGTCTTAGTTGTTGATCTCTCTCAACTCCCTTTTAAGTCATTTTAAGGTTTTCACACATCCACAGTTCATCTATTGTAGCACGATGGCCAAATGCCATTTTTTCACTACTCCATTTCGCACTCCTTCCCTTAATGCAGTGTTTCCCAAACTTATGACTTTTGCGTATCCTTTTAAAAATTTTCGTAACTCTGTGTACCACTAATAAAAAAATGATTGCATTTTTTACTATAAGAAATTCGCACAAAAGTTAAAAATCAAAACTGGCTGTTGACACCACTAATTATTAACTGCTAACTCTGCAAAATATAGCCAAAAGAAAAATACGTAATCGTAAATTTTCATCGCTAGCTTTGTTTTTAAATATAAATTTTTCGAAATTTTCGCTTGTTGCAAGATATTTCGCATAAGAACGAGTACCCCCGCTAAACTGTTCCCGTACCCCTGGGGGTACGCGTACCACACTTTGGGAAACACTGCCTTAACACGTTCACGCCGGGAAAAGTGAAAATACTGGTAGAAGAACTATTTCAGTGTTAAATAATACTCGGGAGGAGTTAATCTATTCTCAACAATAACAATTCACTGTAAGGAAAAAATTTAACGGCGGAGAAGCAATTCAATATAAAAATTGCATCCGTTAAAAACAATTGGTAGTTATGGATTTTTATTATTCCCGGGGAAAAAAAACTAAAAAATGAAATTTATTGTTACCAGTTTTTACTCCGGTGCGCTGCCAAGATGAGACAATCTAGCGTGACCCACCGGTGGGTCACCCCTGCGTGAACGTGTTAATGTAACCAGTTTCAACGTATGTATCCACTTCGAAAAGAGCCTGTATTGGCTCAGGTGCCCAGCTCCCAAACAAAGAAGAAGATAAATAAGGAATGGCATGAATTGTATAGTGTCATGAATAGATTTATACCTCCCGAAAATTATTGAAGTAATTTTAATACCAGTGCTTTTTCCGTCTAGCTGGCAAACTTGAAGTCCGCCCAGCATATACGTCAGATAAACGATTGATTTTTAAATCTCGCCTTTGACATCAAATCAAGAAAATTAGTAACGAAATGAGTTTGTATCACTTATATCTGCAGGGCTGAAAGTGAAGCTGGAAAGCTGGTAACAAATCCATTTCGAATAAAACTAGATAAGGGGAGTGAATCCATTCTTTTTTCCGAGCAATTTATCGATACCTTGAATAATAGTTTTATATATGTGCTACAGTTGTAAAAAATATTTTGGTAGTTACAGATATTTTATTTATCTCGATATAATTCAATTATAAAATGTCTTTCGTACTAGTTTTTGCTCTTTTCCGTCTTGATATGTAAAAAATTTAAGCCCTGCTTATCTGAATACGATGAAAATCTAAAATTGAATCAGAGTTCCCGTGGTACTGTAGAAATCCTAGCTCTTTTAGTAAATTTAGGTTAATGCTAAAAAATATTTCTTAATTAACTATACCATTTTGTTAAGTAGTTAAGCACATGGAATTTTCATGCATATATACTTTCCTTGGAAAACAATTTCCAGTGGTGCTTAAATAATAAAGAATACATAAATTAAAGAATAAATTAAAGAATAAATTAAATAGAAAATAAATTGTCGACATTTATTTAATATTCTTTACCACTTTTTAAAATTTACAAGGTCTTATTGAATTTGAAAGAGAAATTTGTCAACAACAGCAAATATTCAAGTTTTTTTATCGTCTGTAGAAAAGTAAGTTCACGAAATTTCATCATGCGTCCAAGCCTGCCTGAGCCCAGAAGCTTTTTTCAATAAATGAACTCGACTCATCTCTATTTCATACCTGCCAACTTTTAATGCCCTCGAAGGATGATTTTCCTCAGTGGTAGATAAATGGAATTTAAATTACAATTTTAGGCAGACACGCACGCTGTATTTTGAAAAAGCTTATTCAGCGCAGACTATAACTACACTTTGGACATCACTTCTTCTTCTTCTGTTTTCTGGCTTTAGGGCAACTGAGACTAGTTGTTCTTGGTAGTATAACTACTAAATATTATTTCATATAATTAATTATTTTTAAGAAAAAGTGGTGGTCAAAAAGATTATAAATTAAGTTTATTAATGCAAGGAATATGCAAAAAGCATACATTTACTACCACTTCAAATAAAGAAATAAAATTTTAAGCCAAATGCGTAAAACCTGGCAGGTATGCTAAACATGAAAGCTGAATCTTCGCATGTAAATTCGAAAATAATTATTAAGTTGAAGAGTTGGTTGCGTTTTCCTTTCTTGTTGAAAAATGCGCACATTTACATTTTAACTTTCTTAAATAATATTTAGATGAGCTAAAAGACTACCACTATTGTCTTTAAAATTAATCATATAAAGATTATCTTTTGCTCATTTCGGATCTGAGCCGCAACAGGATAGGCAACTATGATTATTATATGAATAGCAACCAATCGTAATGATGACGTGGCTATGATTTTAATTAAAATCAAAAGCGGTTTCTATTTCTTGTTTCAATTCCAGGAGTTTATGTTTAACATAGCTATAAGTAAAAACTATTCGGTTAGAAAAAAAAACGTGTCACTCTTATAACTTATGAAACGGATCGACAGATTTTTCTTTAGTAAAATGTTTACTAAAGAAAAATGTTCTGGGCTGCCAAACGCTTTTTACAAAAATTTATTGTAGTGGTAGCTAAGTTGTATTTTAAAATATGATTTTTTTTATTAATTTAAACTTTTTCCCCACCACTCCATATTAACGATTTAAAAGCTCCTACCCATTGCCACTTTGTTCCGGCTGAAGAAACTGTTACCAAAATTTTGAAAGCTTTCGTTTTAACCCTTTCGCGCCGACTGTCACAAATACGTGCCAACATGAATCCGTATCAATCAGAGTAAAAAAATAAAACTGGTAACCAAAGAAGTTCTTTAGCAGTTTATTTGTGGGTGGGGTAGTGATAGTTTGCTTTATTTAATTCATCACTATTTAGTTCGAATTAAAAATTGCATAGTTCCACTTTTATCACATATGGATTGGATGTGTTTGATTTAAAGTGAAAGCAAAAATAAATCTGTCAAATTAGCTATGCCCAAACTTAAGCTACCGCCTTTTATTTTTTACCAACCTGATATTGATTCCTTACCAATACATTTATGACTCACCCGTCCCGAAATGGTTAAATGTATACCACACTTTAAAATATTTTGCCGAGAGCGTAGTAGTTGCCAAGCATGAATGTTATGGCAATATCCTAAAGAAAGCTATTGAAATATATTTAAAGATTAACTGTAACTGTGGCGGAATAAGCTTATTATGACCCAACAGCGCACTTTTTCTGAAGAAACTTATCTTTTTTTCCCTCAAATTCGGAGTTATCGCCATCAAAATAGAGGGTAGACGAACTTTTGAAAATTGGCTTTTATTGTTCAATCTTAATTGAAAATTGGCTTTTATTGTTCAACCTCAATTGAAAATTGGCTTTTATTGTTCAACCTCAATTGAAAATTGACTTTTATTGTTCAACCTTAATTGAAAATTGGCTTTTATTGTTCAACCTTAATTGAAAATTGGCTTTTATTGTTTGAAAATTGACTTTAGTTTTAATGTTAACTGTTCGAAAATTTGGTACTCTATTGCGTCACGTTTCTGTTCATGTCTTTTGAATGATTGAATAAACTATTATAGATCCTTCATAAAAAGCTTCAGTCCTCCGTCCAAAGACAAATATGCGATATGGAGAGGATTCTAGATTAATGTAATTTTTTGTAATTTGATGATCGTTAATGATGAACAAAAAATTCAAATATGTATAAAACATTCTACGTGTTCAGAATTTTTAGATTACTTTTACCTA